CCTGATGGTGAAATTGTTAAGTTTAAGATATTAACCCTATCATAAGGGGGGGGGGGAGGTGTTTACCAACCCCTCTCCCCTTTGGTTTATACTAAATATATTAAAAACGACTTAGACCTTCTTCACTTTTTCAACTTCATAGTTGTGAAGAAAAAAATTATTATTCACAGGATAGGGTGGAGGACAGTAAAAAAATCAGAAATGGTTAATAACTTTTTTATTAATAACGCTACAGGGCTAAAATTTATATAATGGAAAAGCCCTTTGAAAAATTGATGTAAAAACATGTGCCATATATTTCTCAAAAGTAAAAATATTTATTTTTGAACATTTTTCCGACATACTAATTGAACTTTTTTTAAACGCCCTATATGCACCCTAACAATTTTAATTATATAAGGGAAAATATCATATTTATATTAGACAAAAATAGCACAATCGGGGTAGGGTATAAAAGATAAGAGTTGGATGCAACGCAACCAACAGGTAATTTGCCGATTCTAAAATGGTTTTAAACATATATGAAATGTAAAGAATGAATCACAATAAAAAAATGTATATATGAGAGCAACCAGACCCCCCCACTCCCTCCCCCGTTTTGGACTCAGGAAGGAAAAGGTTAAATTTCCACTGAATCTGAATACACATATTCTTCAGAAATAATTCCATTTTGTAATCCTGGCTTAAAGAAGAGTGTAGAGTGCTGAATAAAGAATTTTAGTATTAATAAAACATTTTTAAGATAAATTCTTGTTATATGTAGATAATGGTAATAATGCATAATATACAAATAAAGTTGTAATCTTTGTTTGTTTGTTTGTTTGGATGTTCGATCATAACTCAGGAACCACTTGTTTAATTTTAAATTGCGGAACTCGGGAGACCCACGGAAATGTTTTTAGTGCGGTTTTGAAATTCTAAGTTAAGTGTTGCAGAAAAATTATACCCTGTCTGCAGTAGCAGGAAATTTAAAGTGATTCTGTATATGTGGTTTTAAAATGAAACAAGAATAACTGAACAATAATTTATTACTTTAAAATACAAATATATATTCCAATCTTGAGGTAAATAAAGAATTCTGTAGCACTGACAGATTCGCAAGACTCTTCCGAACTAAACAAAAGATGGGTTAAACAAGCATTTAAAAGTTTACAGCCATAAGAAACCCATAAAAGGTCCAATAGTTACAGCTGTAAAGAAGCTAAAGTTAAGATTATAATTCATAAGTTTAAAGCTTAAACCATGGTATTAACCAAAAGTAAACTCTGTTTAATTAAATTGGAATGCAATAATGGTGCTAATCAATAAATTATTATGGCTATTTAACCATTTTATTAGCAATAAATAATGCACTGGTGACTCGGTAATTATGAGGATCACTGTACTTTTAAAAATAATACTTTTATGAGATAAAACTCAGTAATTATGAAGACCACTGTATCTCTCAAATTAACACCATGTAATAAATTGCATGGTAAAACTTTGCATAATAAATGCAATGAATAAAATTTTTGAAAGTCGTCAATAAAAAGCATCCCTGAAAATGTATTCTGCAGTGTATTGAACAGCTTTCTATTTATTTTCGTCTATAGGGGTCGCGCGATGTTGCAGTTTATGGTCGGACACTAAATGTTGTCAACAATCCCATTTAGACAGTACTTAATTCTTCCGTATTTAGGACGTGAGTCAGTGGAGACGTCATATGTTTGCAAAAAGAACGGATGAAAATATTCCGGCTCTGGCGTGTTTGTGTTTACATTTCCATTCATCAACAATTAATATTTGTAAACAAACATAAATAGGGAATACATAAAAAATATTCTGTTGACAATTATTAACCAGACAAAATTTTCATACAACATTAAGTTAGTTTTATAGCTTTCATCTTTTAGTTAAAATCGTCTAATTTAATATCAAGCGAGAGTAATCGGGGGAAGTTACTATGAGTACCCCGGGCAACGCTGGCTTAATTAACTAATAACCATTTAAAACAAAGCTTACGATGCCCACGTCTAAAAATCTTGTATATTTCAACTTTGTTTAAATTTTTTTTCAAATTAAATAATAAAAAGATCTGAGTAAACTTTGAAATGATTCCATTTGAAATATCTTTTTAGGGAAGGGGAATTCCAAATTAATATTAAAAATAATCTGAGGCAATTTAAGTGTTGGAAGTTCATTACATCTAGTACAGGGTTACCCACACAGGATGAGACCTTAGAGATAAATACAGGTTTTAATTCTTAAAAAGTATTATATAGTTCCCTGCAATTTTACGCTTGTTAATTTTACTAAGGGTGTCACAAAAAAAGATTTGCAGTACCCTGAGTGCTGACTGCTGAGGGAACAATTTTCGTTCAATTTTCATAATCAAGGTGTTGTTGGAAAGCTCTATATTTCAGTTATTTAAAGATGTATTTTTTTTCGTTGGCCCCTTATACTTAATATGTTACGATCACTTCTTTTTCATTTTTTTCACTTTTTAGTTTTTATTTTTATTTTTTTTTATAAATAATGAAAAAAATGGCATATTTTCGTAATTGTTTTAAAGTAAGCTGTTGATCTGAGGTTTCTATTTAAGCCAAAATTTTGGATCAGTGATAATTAGCTTTTGAGCTAGAGTATTTTTAAAATAAAATTAACAATAAGAAAATTTATAAAACAAAGCTACAGTTTCTCTACAGCCTGTAAGAACTTTGACCAGTCCAGAAAAAAATAATTAAAATTAAAATTAAAGCATATGATTTGGGATTTTTATTTTTGTGTTATAACGGTATGTTGTCTCAGGAAAGTTAAA